ATGCAAATGGTCTTTCACGGAGCAAACTTTCCATATCAATCTTCTCGAGTTGTGGGCGGTCAGATATGCATGCCAACATTTCAATCAGTAAATAGCTCACAAGTCCATTACCATCATGACGGACAATACCACCTGCATGTACTACATCAACCAACAAGGCGGGGCTCGATCCCCTTCCCCGTGTTCGGAAGCTATAAGCTCTGGAACTGGTGCCTGACGCATGGGGTCACCCCTTCAGCCGTTTACCTTCCGGGAGAACTCAACATCACAGCTGACGCCCTAAGTCGTACGTTCCAAGACCAACATGAATGGGAGATCGACAGACACGTTCTCACCCCACTCTTCCTTCGCTGGGGCCACCTAGATGTGGATCTCTTTGCCACGAAAAACAACAGAAAATGCCACCTTTAACTGCTCCAGAGCACCTCTCGGCAAACATTCCCTTGGAGACTCCTTTTCGATCACGTGGGACGCCCCTCTCCTTCACACGTTCCCGCCCTTACTGTCCTACACCAAGTCCTCAGCAAAATCAGGACGGACCAGGCACGTGTCATACTAGTGGCACCTGCATGGCCCAGACAGATGTGGTATCCTTACCTCCTCAAGATGGCGGTGATGGATCCACATCCCTTCCCACTTCACCACGATCTTCTCTCATAGAACCACGAATGGACTCTCTATCCAGACGTTCTCAAGCTCCATCTCCATGCCTGGCTCCTTCATGGCTCCAGGATGCCGAGACTGACTGCTCAGAATAGGTGAAGGACATCCTGATAAACAGTAGAAGACATTCTACTAGAAGAACTTACCTGTACAAATGGATTCTCTCATTGGTATGCTCAAACACATGCAACCCCTCCAGAGCTCGCTCCTTTACCTACCTTACTGGATTACTTACTATCCCTTAAACAGTCGAGCCTAGCACTCAGCAGTATCAAGGTCCACGCCACCGCCACAGCTGCTTTTCACCATTCCACGGATGGCGTTTCTTTTCTTGCTAATCCGCTGACCAAACATTTCTTTAAAGGCCTACAGAATACCTTTCCTCCTGTCTGACCTCTGGTCCCCGTCTGGGACTTGAACCACGTTCTAAAAAGCTTGACAAAACCACCATTCGAGCCTCTAGCCACTTGCTCTTGATCTCATTTATCTATGAAAGTCTCCTTCCTCGCCACTATTACCTCCAGTAGGAGGGTGAGTGAGCTTGCGGCCTTGATGGCCAAACCTCCATACACTGTATTTACAAAGGACGGAGTGATACTCTGACCCCACCGTAATTTCCTCCCTAAAGTGCCCTCCCCCTTCCACGTGAATGAACCCATACACTTACCTGCCTTCTTTCCGAAGCCACATGTCGACCCAGTCCACGCTGCATGGCACACTCTCAACGTCCGACGAGCTCTGGCATTCTACGTTGACCTCACAAAGCCGTGGCAAGCCTCACCTAGACTTTTCATCTCTTATGCTGAAAGATCTAAGGGACAAGCAGTCTCGTCTCTTAGAGAATTTTAAAATGGATTACCTTCTGCATTCGAACTTGTTACGCCTTGCATGACAGGCACTTACCTGGAAGTATCACAGCTCATTCCACCAGGGCGGTAGATGCCACAACCGCCTTCCTTCGTAACGTTCCACTCCAAGACATTTTCAGTGCTGCCACCTAGTCATCTGACCACTCTTTTGCGCAACATTATGCACTTTCCTCTTCCATAGCATCCTCCATGGCAATGAGACATGCTGTATTGTCCACAGTTACTGCTACACAGCTCCAAACCCACCTCCATGAGCCGACAACTGCTCTGTAGTCACCCAGAATGGAGCACCCATGGGGACCACTCAAGGAGAAGAGTTACTCACCTTGTGCAGTAACGGTGCTTCTTCGAGGTGTGTCCCTGTGAGTGCTCCACTACCCTCCCTCCTTCCCCTGCTTGGAGCCTTATACTCTAGCGGGTAGAGATGGAATGGAGGATCCGTGCCGTGCACGTGCCCAACAATTCCAATGACACTAGAGGGCACCATGGCACCTGCGCGGCGCAGCAGAAACTGCTAGAAAAGTCTCTGGTCGCCGGCGCGAGGACGCCCAAGCACCCAGAGTAGAGCACCCACGGGGACACACCTCGAAGAAGCACAGTTACTGTACAAGGTGAGTAACTCTTTCTTCTCAAGTGAGATTTAGCCGTCAGGCAGTACATATGGGCAGAATTTTAGCAGCAAGCAGCTCACAGGAAATTCCCTTGGAATAGGGGCAATACTGAGTAGTGAGAGATTGGAGCTGCCCTCCCCCATCAATGCTCCAGCACAGGTGGATGAAGAAGTGTGCTACCTGTTCCTGCTATGCCTATCCTGGGAGCTCTCTCCCTCTTCCAAGAAAAAAAAAAAAGGAAAAGTGGAAGAGGGATAAGGAGACAGTTGATCAGAGATGCACAAAGATTTTTAGGGTCGAGGCCAAAATCGGAAATTCACTTCTCTTCTCCCAACAGTTTACCACAATAGGAAAACTAGGGTAGGAAGAGTGAGGGTGGATTCAGTCCAAACCACAGCCTTGACTTCTGGGACATATCCCGGAAAAGTTCTGCTGCATCCAAGCAATGCATCCACATTTTCAAAACAGTTTCCAAAAAAGCGGATGTGTTCTTTTGGCATCCCTGTATTCCTCTCTGAGAGGAATAAGGGATGTTTCAAAAGAAGAGTTTTTTCTGAAATTTGATCCCGTGTAGATGGGCCAAATTTCAAAAGATCCTCTTTTGGGGAAAAAAAAGTGGAAAAAGATACATAAATTGCAGTTCAGTTTGTGTATCTTTTTCTGCCTTTTGTCAGCAGTATTGACATAGCCAGAGTGTGATAGATTAGATCACAGAAACATCTTGGCTGTGTCTACACTGGCACCCTTTTCCTTAAAAGGGATGCTAATGAGACACTTCAGAATTGCAAATGCCGCGGGGGATTTAAATATCCCCCGCGGCATTTGCATGAACATGGCTGCCGCTTTTTTCCAGCTCGGGGTTTTGCCGGAGAAAAGCGCCAGTCTAGACGGGATCTTGTGGAAAATAAGCCCTTTTCTGGAAGATCCCTTATGAATAACCCCGAGCCGGAAAAAAGCAGCAGCCATGTTCATGCAAATGCGCGGGGGATATTTAAATCCCCCGCGGCACTCCGCTTTTTTCCGGCTCGGGGTTTTGCCGGAGAAAAGCGCCAGTCTAGACGGGATCTTGTGGAAAATAAGCCCTTTTCTGGAAGATCCCTTATGAATAACCCCGAGCCGGAAAAAAGCAGCAGCCATGTTCATGCAAATGCGCGGGGGATATTTAAATCCCCCGCGGCACTTGCAATTCCAAAGTGTCTCATTAGCATCCCTTTTCCGGAAAGGGGTGTCAATGTAGACACAGCCCTTGGGATTGTCCCATGAGCTGATCAAGCCACTGATGCCTGCTTTCTGGGGCTTCTCTCCACCCTGTCCTTCTAGGCCAGAAGTTCTGGCCTTCCCCAGCCAAGGCACAGAGTTGGGGTTACTGTCCCCCTTCAAAGCAACACAGACAGTGAATTGGTTCAGCTCTGGGAGGGCTAAGCTATAGGGCTATTTGCAGCACCCAGAAACCCCAAATACATCCATCTTCCTCTGTAACAGTTTTATACAGAGAGCTCTTAAAGATATCCTCTCCTCCTTATGAGATGCATCCACAGTATCAAGCCCCGGGTAAATAATTAACAAAAGCATTTTTATTAAGTATAAAAAGTAGGATTTAAGTGCTTGCAAGTGAAAACAAAGTTACTAACTGACTAAGCTTTTTTTCCAAGAGTTCTTTAGAGCCCTTTATTTTCAGGTTCCTTCATGTGTATTAGGGATGTTAGCTATCAATTAACTGAATAGTCAATTTACCCCATGAATTCTTACCAGTTAGCCAACTATTCTGTAGTCTGTCAGACAGGGCCGGCACCCAGTGCAATCCAGCCCCACTCCCTGGGAGCCTCCTGCCACCCCACTCTGCTGCCTGTCTATCAGAAGCAGAGGCAGCATGTGGTGCCAGGCAGGAGCTGGTCCACGAGGGGAGCCAATTTAAAAACCAGCTCCCCTTGCAGACCAGCTGCCTGCCTCTGATACAGAGGCAGCAGATCCGGTTGACAGCAGTCTCTGTCTGCGGGGAGCCGAGCTCCCGGTGGACAGAGAGTGCAGGGGGAGGCTGCTCTGAATCAGCTTCTGTCCATGGCAGCCCAGGCTGGTCACAGACGGAAGCTGTTCCAGAAGCACCCCATCTCTGTGGGGCTGGGACCCCATGCACAGAGGCAAATGACACACACAAGAGGCTGCTCCACAGGATGTGCAGCTGCCTCTGTCCACTGCAAGCCTGGGCCGCTGCAATGAAGAGGCAGCAGTGCGAGGGGGCAAAGGGGGGCAACCAGGTTTTAAGCAAGCTCCCCCCAGGACTAGTTCCTGTTTCCTCCCTTGCTGCCTCTGATACAGGTTAACCCAGGGGTGGACAAAAGGGCCTCCACAAGATTGATCAGGCCCACGGAGGTCCTGCTGCTCCCCTACCCCCAGGCCAATTAGTGCGTGGGGAGCCCACAAAGCCTCCTTCCACCCTGCCAGGAGCACATAGAGCTTTGAAGTACGGTTTCAGGGCAGGAGGAAGCTTTGCATGCTCCCCCACCCCCAGGCCCTAATTGGCCTGGGGCAGGACAGCAAGGGAAGTCTTCTCCCATGCCAAGACCTTGGGCACCTTGGGAGAACATGGTGTGCAGGCGAAGGCCCTCCCTCACTACCAGACCAATTATTGTATGGGGTTGGGGAACCTGGAAATATATTGTGCCACAGGAGCCCCTTGAAAAATTTGCAAGGAGGGCTCCAGTAAAAATGCTGTTATTCCTGAAAATGATCAGCATAGCAGCATTGCACAAGAGGGTTTTTCTTGCGCAAGAAGGGGCAGTGTAGACAGCTTCTTGCACAAGAGCCTCTTCTACAAAAATGGTGGCTCACTACATATGCAAATGAGGCTCAGCAATATTCCTTGCTTAGCTTCATTTGCATAGCTCTGGCACAAGATCCCGTCAGTGTAGACATAGCCTAGGAGCAGATCGTTTCTCATTCTCTGCTCCTGCTTCAAGCACAGAACAAGTGATAAGGCTATTTCTACACTACAATCTGTACTGCTACAGCTGGGCCGCTCTAATTAGCTCTCCCGTGGCGCAGCTCTTTGCTTAAAGGAGAGTGGAGGCCGGGTCACCCGAAACACGCTTGGCTTTCAAGGAAACGCAATTACACCCAGGAGGACTCCGGAGTAGCCAACAGCCGTCCAGACCGCCTGCCGCCCACCCCCGCTGTGACCTTGTTCGGTCTACACCATAAGCGGCGCCTGGCTGTAACGTGACACTACAACCGGGCCAGCTAGTGGGGGGCGCAGGGCAGAGCGTCCCCCATGTGCCCTGCGCAGCTGCCCCGCCCCCGTGGCTTGTGGGACAGCCTCGTTCGTCCAGAGGAGCGCGACTGTCCCTGCGGCTCCGGGGCTCAGCACCCACATTAGAGGGAGGGGCTGCAAGTCCGGCTCGGCCGCTACTCCGGACAGCTAGCGAGACTCTCCCGGGGATCGGCCCCATCCAAGCCAAGCCGGGTCCAGCGGTCTATACACTGGCTTGGACAAGCGACCGCCTCCCCTCATCTCATCCGCTCACCTTATGCGCGGGGCTGGCTACGGAGGCCGGCAGGAGCTGCTTCGCTCAGATCAGATTCCAGCTGAGTCCCGCCTTCTCGCCCTGATTGGCCGTGGCACCGGAGGCTCTTCCCATCACCTGGGTGACAGGGACGCTGTTAGCAGGAAGGACTGCCCCCCCCCAGCCAGTAGAGCGTTGGCGCATGCGAAACAGTGCCTGGGGGTCCCAGGCGAGAAGATGAAGGTAAAGTTGAGAAACGCCGTTATCGGGGCGTCACGCCGGCGCGGGGGCCATAGGTCGAGGAGCCAGCCTGGGGCCTGCGGCACTCGGACGCCCTGC